TGTTGGAGGATGGTCTTCAGCATCCCCTTCTAGGATAGGAAAGTTTTCTGGCTAGTTTTGCTGGACCTGGGGGTTGGCTGGAGCTTTACTCATGTTCCGAGTTAAAACCATCAAATAGAAGAATCAGGTAAGAAATTGATGAAAACCATTCCCATAAACGGCACCAATTGATGGTGCTCAAAATTTATGGCCCAAGCCCAACTATGATGAGATGATGTTCTGAATTGGTTTCGCTAATTATGGATTAATCTCTTGTGATTAGTTAGACGGGGAATATAAGTGGTTCACCTTAGCCGAAGGACTAAGACTACATCCACTATTAATGGAGTCTCTTGCTCGTTGGGTTTGTGTATTCATCGATTGGAGGTGTGCCTCCTGAAACTGGGGACTCAGAGTCCACTTACAAGGGATGAGTATCTAGGTATTTACTCTTAGCTTTCTAAGCTTTTAGGCTCTTGAATGTTCTTTGATTTTGGGGAGAAATAGCTTCCCTCACCAGGTTATTGTTTTCTATTTATATTAGTCTCTCCTAGGGTCTTCAACTGTCTTTCCCTTCGCATTGATCCCTCTCGTCCTTTCCTTTGCCCTTTTCCTGCTTCTTTTGCCACCACGATCATTGTTCGTCCGACGCCCTACTTCATCTGGCGCTGCTGTCGCCACGATCTCTGGTGGCCTGGTGCTCCACATTCTCTGAGATTGTCGTAGGTGTCAGGAGTGGTCCCCTGGATCCCTAGTGTGCGTGGTCCCCTCTGGTGATCCAAAAATAGCTTGGACCCGGCTTTCAATCTCCAAGCCGCTTTATGGTTTGAACTGGGTGTGGATTGTTATGTTATAGGCCTTTTGTCGATGCTAAGTTCTCCTTCTCTGCTCTGGGCCTCTTGGGCTGGTTATGCGTTTGGGTCGTCAAAGCCCTGGCCTTGAGTTTCGTTCGTATCACTATCCATCAAAAATTTTATTACCACATCATAATCTACCTATATAGAACGATTATGCCTAACTAAATTTTTTGAAACATCCTTATTGACACTTATTCAATATCTTACACAAAATTTAAAGGATCAAGTTAACATTTCAAGTTTATAGTTGTCACTGGATGTTTCTGTGGTCAACGAGATGAGTCACTACTTAAGCTCAATTATTATTTCTATCAAACAACTAGAAACATGAAAATCCAAAAAAAAAAAAATGTAGGGCAGTTTGTTCCAGACTTATTATCCACAAATTAGGATGCCCATTAGCCGATATACACAATGATGAGCACGACAAAGTTTTTGAAGTGATTCCAATTAATATCAGATTCTAAAGCTTATAAAGGGTAACATTTTAGAGCCATAGGAACTCTGCAGCTTTTTAAAGAACACTACCAATAGCAAAGAGGGTGCTGCCAACAAAAGCACATACCTGAATTGGATGCAAGCCATGTTTGCGATTCCCTACTCCCTCCATTGTAATGATATGCATCCCCACTACTGAGTATAGAGGAGCCAAGAAAACATTGACTACATGGTGCTTACAAAGATAATTAAGTTAAAAAAAGGTAAAATGCATATTGCATTACCACACGAACTTGATAAAAGTAAAATGGAGCTCAAACTGGGAGAAACTTACGTACAAGATGTAGAAAGGATTACCCCATCAATGCAGATCTTTCACATAAATTTGAAACAAGTAAGCGAAGAAAGGAAAAAGGAGAAGAATGAGAAGAAGGGAGAAACACAAAAATTAGGGTTTTCTTTAGTTGAATGATAAAATTGATATTGGGGTTTATGAGGGAAAGAAAATGGGGGAAAGAGTGAGAGAGATTGAGAGGAATAATTAGTTGTGCAGGCAATGTTGCCCTACACTCTCTTATTTATAATAAACTGACATTACGAGTAATTACATTATTACCCTACACTACTAATAATCTAAAATAAGTACTCTAACACTCCCCCTCAAGTTGGAGCATTTAGCTTTGAACAAAAATTACTGAATACAAATCGAGACAATGGTTTTGTAAGGATGTCACCCAGTTAATTACTAGATTTGATGTATGGTGTGACAATCTCTTTACGCTTCAATGTATGTAGTCCTCTCTTAGAATACCGAATTGTTGGTAATGAATATAGTTGTTTGGTTGCCACAATGCAATTCCATAAGAGAGGGCATACTGATACCCATATCACAAAGTAGTGAATACACCCACAACATCTCACACAAAATATGAACCATGGCTTGATATTTAGCCTCTGCGCTCGAACAAGCAACTATATTATATTTCTTACTACGCAAAGTAACAAGATTACGACAAATAAATGTATAATAACTTAAAGTAGACTGTCTATCATTACGACTACCTGCTCCATCAACATCAAAAAATCCAGTAACAATCATGGAGGATGAAGGATGAGATAACAATCCTTTAATTAGTGCTCTTTTCTGATACCGACGAATACGACAAATAACCTCCTAATGAGGCTTAAGAGGAGTATATATGAACTGACTAACTACACCAACAACATGGATGATATTAGGACTTGTAATTGTAAGATAAATTAGCCTACCAACCAACCTTCAATAACACCCTACTTTATCAAACACTTCACCACTATCAACATTTGACTTGACTGTGGAGTCTATGGGAGTATCAATTGGACGTGCACCAGGACTACCAGTTTTCAACAATAAATCCAATATATACTTCCGTTGGCACAAATTGAAACATTCATTTGATTGAAAAACTTCAATCCCAAAAAAATACCGAAGAAGACCTAAGTCTTTGGAATGAAATTTAGAAGCGGCTCAACCTTATGGCTCTTAAAGCGTGGGCTTTAAGTCCTAGAATTTGAGAATGCCCCATAATTTTAATTATATAGTTAGTTCACATCAAAAGTTTAAATCTATGAAAATGTTAAGCCCTCTCAAGATTGTCCCAAAAAATTAAGCCCAATCAAAATTTATAATTTCAATAATTTGGGCCTATGATCCAACCCATAACATTAGAACCCCAAAGTTAAAAGTTAAAAAAAAAAAAAAGTACAGAAAATATCTACTCAAAAGTCAACTCATATTTACCTCACACATCCTCTCTCTTTTTCTCTTTAGTAAAATATAGAAACAAAAGCTAAAATTAAGTCCCCTTATTTCTTTCTAGTAAAAAATAAAAGCAAAAATTAAAAAATCTCTCTAGACAACACTATCCCTCCGTTTCATTCTCTACCAAGTGTAACACCTCGCCCCCTCTCTCATACACAAAAAAAAATTAATTAATTTTAAATAAAAATTTTAATAACAAAAATAAAAAGATCTCATTCGATGTTATCACATTAGACCTCAAAATTATCATGAGTCACCTTTGATGAAACTACTTCCCCAAGTGAAACTTAAAGTGCCGGTACTGATAATGTTATAAATATAAACAATATGAATAATAACACTTGTGAAAAAATGACGAATAAAAATTGAATGGTCTGAAGTAAAACGCTAAAAACCATATTGAAGAACAATATGACTAAACTTATCAAAACAAGCACGTGGTGATTGTTTCAAACCATACAATACTTTTTTCAGATGACACACTACTTGTTCCTTATTAGATACAATATAACTTGGAGGTTGTACCATACATATGAATATAACTCCTCTTGCAGGTGTCCATGTAAAAGGTATTCTTGATGTCCAATTGATATAAAGGTCAATCACAACTCATGACAATCGAAATAAGAACTCTAACAGGGTTAAGATGAGTAATAGAAGAGAAACTCTCAGAGTAATCCACGTCGTCTGAGCGTAGTCTTTGGCAACCAGACGAGCCTTGAAATGCTCAACTGAACCATCAGGTGTTACTTAACTTTATTGACCCAACAACAATTGATAGGCTATTTACCAGAAGGAATAGAAGTAAGTTCTAATGTATGATTCTCATTAAGGGCTTTCATTTTCTAATTCATAGTCAGTTTCCAATCGAGATGTTAGTACCCATTGAAAAGAACTAGAAACAAATAATGAAAACAAAGTCAATGCAAAACAACAAAAGAATGGTGAAAACCGATGTACAGAAACAAAATTAGAAATGAGATGCTTTGTAAAATTATGGGTACCTTTTCTCAATACAATAAGTAAATCAGAAGATGATGAACTAGTTGACGGATCAAGGAGCAGGACCTCAATAGAATTAAGTGATGGTTGTGGAGCTGGAACATATAAAACATTATGTCTGTCCTTGTAACGATGATAAATTTGCAAGGGAGGAGGACTCGGGGAGGAAGAAGATACATAGTCTACCATAATAGGCAACAAGGGTTCCCCCTAACTCGGAAATACTAAATTTAGAGAAAGTGTATTGCCTGACACAGAAAAGATAGAAGATAACTCAAAAAATGTGACATCAGCACTGACATAGCATTAACGAGAAATGGGGTAATAGCAGCATAACCTTTCTGAGTATAAGAATATCCCAAAAAGATACACTTAATCAAATAAAATGAAAGTTTGTATGTACCCAATTCAAGGGAATGAACAAATACAACACAATCAACGACATGAGAAATGAGACTAAATGATTGATTTATTAGCATAAAGTAATGTTAAAAAAGATTTGCTATTCAAAATGGGAGAAGGCATACAATAAATAACATAAATTAAAGTAAGTAAGAGTAGCATCAGGCCAATATAGTTTTGACTGTATCCTCCTTGTTTTCTGCATGGTAAAAATTATCTCTGTTTCACCTCCTACCTTGAATAATGTGTCCTTTCACCTTTTTATAATACTCAAAAACAGAAATAGGGGTCCTACAGTAAACTATATCTACGAACCCCAGGCTCCCCCACCAACCCAAAACTGATAAACAAAAAAGGGAAAAATATTTAAACGAGAAAAAAACAACAGAAAATTTTCCCACTTTCAAGAGAATAGCCTACACCTGTCCCGTATAGGTATCTGATATTTCTTTCAGATTTGCAGCCTATGTTGAATAGTGTTACAACAGTACCAAAGCATGCATTTGGAAAACAAAATGCATTAGAACTCACTACCTTAAAAAAACCAGTGAAAAAAATGTCCACAATCTGTCCTAAGGAATGCACTTGAAAAATTACAAAAGATATCACTACACTGAAAAGAAATATAATCCACTGAAAAAAAATGTTCACAATATGTCCAGTGTCAGCTAGTTTATGCGAGCAATTGCCACGTTCAGGTACTAACCATAAATCATTACCTATGTTGAGGGAAGAAGAGAACCAGACATACCAAATACTGAGACACATAAGGAAAGAGACGGAAGCGGAGGAAGAGAAAGACTCACAAACATTTCTTCGAATTTCGATCAAAGTAAGAGACCATCACAGTGCACGCCCCACAACCACCTTCACCACAGCCTAGCTTTGTCCCTGTCAAACCTATGTCTACATATACATATAGAAGAAACATCAAATAACACGAAAGATGGAAAGAATTGAGCCAAAAATTAAACACGAACACAAGCATGTATATACATTTATCAATATGTATGAGACGAACTGGCAGAAGAAAATTGGAAAAAAAACAAAGAAACGAAAAAAAAAATGAAAAGGGTCTTGAAAAGCCGTAAAGAAACTGAGCATAATTCATCTTGTCAAATCAAATATTAATTTTCCTTTGCTTTTCTTGTTTATTTCTTCAGGTTTCCCTGCAACAAAGCAGAGAAGGGCAATCGAATTTCAGTACCCAACAAAATTAAGAAACACAAATCCCATTTACCTCTGAGATATTCAAGTAGAGTCATAGGAGCTAATCCATCAGGCAGTACACGACGAACCCCATTCACGTACAAGATTGGATCCATCGACTCCATCTCCAATTCATCTTCGGTCTTCAACGACCCCATCTCTCTGTGCGAGTCCCTGTGTGTAAAAAACTGTATATAGATATATGTACACGAATTCAATATCTACCCAGATGGTTGAAATTCAAGTTTTCATCGGAAATAGAATCGGAGCTGGTACTCAAGAATCAGAGTTGTCAGGCTTATGGTTCCTCTTTCGAGTCTTTCTCAGTTTCTTTGATTCATAGGGGAGGTAATGAAGTTGCTAATTGTCTTGCTTATTTTGCTATAAATTATAGTTATCAATCTTTGTAGTTGAAGGACGAGGTTCCTTCTTTCTTGTTATCTTCCATACTTAAAAATGTACTCCTCTGTAGTCAACGAAATATATATCGGTATTTTGTCAAAAGAAAAACTGATAAAAATGTCACATAAATTCAATAATTTGAGGGACCACAATAATATTTATCAATTACCACATGACCATTTAAAGTAAAATTAAAAATTCTAAGTTTAAAGTGGCACAATTAAAAGAATATAAACCAAAATACAATGGGATGTGCACTTCACATATTTAAAAAATATATTCCGTCATTCGCTTTTTGTTAAGAGTAAATTGAATCTATAATTACCCATAAAAAATAAGTAAAGTAATAGGATTTTTATCATAAAGTGAAAACTCACAGAGTTAAATTTGGATTTAGATACTCTTGGATCACAAGAAGAGGATTTTGGATCGTTCCAGGTGTAGGTTAGCAAATGCAAAAGGCTTGACGAAAGGTAGTATAAAAACCTACGCCTTGTATTCAAGTATTGGCCATTTACGACATGGGAGATAATAAGACACATGAAAATGATAGGCATGTAATGATTAAAGCAATAATGATTAAAATATTTTATCTCTTTAATTTACTAGATTAGTAGATTGAACTCAAAATCTCAAGCATATTAACGTCTAAAGCCAATACCTAATAGGAATGGGTTCAGGGGTCCATTATTCTTGCATGTCATTCTAGGAAATTCTATTTATTTGTCCTTGTGTGTGACCCGACTTGCATGGAAACTGATGATGCATAAAATTGATTATGCACGATTAAATTAGTAGAATATGGGGTGTAAAACAATTAATAATAAGAGACAAAAATTAAATAGTTGGGTCTAGGTGACCTAACCACTAAAAACAATTAATGGTGGCCGAAAGATTCTATTAATGAGAGAGTATAAGGTAGTAATATAAAAAGAGCAAGAGTATGCTCAAGGTGAGGTGTGTGTTCTCTCCCATGTGTAGGGGGTTTACAATTTATAGGCGTAGACGCAGCGAAGCCCAAGTTGAGATGGTGACGTAAGAGTTATGGTACTAGTTTGTCGGATAGGCTAGTTACAATTGGAAATGAGCACTATCTTGAAGTAATGGTTATCCCGATGATTGCTCTCTCACATGCGTTGACTCTCCCTAGACTCTTAAGCTTTGGACTGTACTGAAATCATGAACTAAGTCTTTCCAATTTTTTGATGATTTTAGCTCAACCCATGAACTAGGGTCAACATTGATCTGAATTTGGACTCGTCAGGAACAATCAATTAAGAATAGAGAAGAACAAATCCAAAGTCCACATATAGATGCAAATTTCAATATTAACCAAACGGGCAAAACGTAAACCTCAAGAAAATAAATATTCGGGGTTTAGTTTGAGAAACCCCCATTTTCTTATTGAATGGGTGATTTGTTTTTATATGAGATCTGCTAATCCATGTTATGCTCTGCCTGAGTCCCTAGGGTGGTTAAATTTTTTTCTCATACATTATAATATTATTTTAAAGATCTATACTTGATACTTGTGCTTTGCTAATTTTGTTTTACATGTTGATTTACTTCCTCAATTTGAAAATTACATTTCCAAAAGCCATGTGAAACAATTTTTATGACCATGAAATAATATTCTTCCATTTGCTGCCTAATGTGTTAATTTATTTCCCCTTTTCTCTCTGTCTCTCTCTCTCTCTCTCACACACACACAAAGTGACATCATGACTCTGAGTGTATTTTAATTGCTGTCCATAGTCCATGTTTTGATTTTTTGATATTGAAATTCTAAATCTTTATATTGTTGATTAAAAAACGTGTCTAAAATTTTGTATTGATTTTCTCCTGAATTCTTTTATTTGTAACGTGACAGTTATGACTCACCTAAATCACTCGCCTAAATGTACCACAAGGAAAATGATAAGGAAGAAGAAATTGGTTACACTATATATATTCGAATTTAATTGCATTGCCAGTAGGCAAATAATAGGCTGTGGAGTTGTTAAGCATGCTTGTTCAGATACTGTTATTTAGCTTTGCATCATTGTTGGAGATCTGGGTGTTTTAGTGATTTCACTGTCTAGCTTTTAAATTTCCTGACAATGGAATCTTTGGCTTTGCAAGTTTGTAGCACTATTTATTGTTTAGTACTGTGGTAGGTATTGTTGGTTGTTTTGACTAGTTGGTTTGGCTTTGTCTGTCATGGGATTCCTATAAATCTGTCTTTTTGCTTTCATGCTTTCTATGTGATTGTTCACATGAGTCTCGTTTGGTTTCACTTCTTAGTTTGTGTTTATTGTTGTACTTACTTATATTATAGAACCACAAGGAAGGAAAAAAGTTTAGAGACAAATCTTTTTCTTTTTATGAAGATTTGTGCACAGAGGCGGAGCTATGAATTTATACGTGGGGGGGATTAACTATAAGTTTCATACCCAAAATTTTATTGACAAAAGAGCCAAAAATCGATATACATGGAGTATAAAAAATAAAAAAAATCTACAAAATAAGGTTCTAATTAGACCCATTTACAAAAAATTAGACTAACTATAGTCTTTTACAATTGACTACGACATGATTTCACATTTTGAAAGCATTGCATGATAACATTATTATCAATGCAATAAAAAATGTCTTTCTCTATGTATACAATCAAGTTGTTTGTCATCCATTGATCGTCCATTCGATTACGCAATCGATTCTTCATAATTTTTATAGCCGAAAATGCTCTCTCTACTGTGGCAGTCGCAACTGGCAAGATCAATGTCAATGTCACAAGTATGGTCACAATAACATTACACGTTTTAACAAAAGCTACAGTTACAATGTCTTTTTTAATTTCAGGCGAAGTTAACTTGAGATTCTTAGGAGCATTTTTCAACACAAAAACTTTAATATCCTCATTGTGATCAGCAAGAAATCTAAGAAGCTCAAAGAAGTTTCCTTGATTACTTGAATTCTCAGATTCATTGTGACCACGAAATGCAAGCTTTTGCCTTAGAAGAAATCGAATAGAATCAATGGATGCATTCAACCGGTTTATGTACTCACTTCAAGCTTGGTCTAACCGTTTGAAGATAATAGTTTCAATACTTTGCTTTGGATTTAATAAATCTTGACATTTTCTCCAAGCTTGGTTATGATAACTATTAACGCTTCTAACATGCATTTGTAACTTCTCTATTTTCTTCCAATTTGAAAAGCCCGAGCTAACAAAGGTTTTGTCACCCGATTGTTCTCCCATATCTGATTTAAAAAGATAACAACACAAGCAAAATACTGCATTTTTTGCTACATTATACTCAAGCCAGTTACTAAACAAAGAAAATCAAACTTTGTTAAATTGTCGTAGTTTAACACAAAATCTTTTTTGTAGAAAATTATGGTCGCGGGATTCACAAAGACCCTTTTGTGAATAAGTTCTACGAATTTGATCTCGATCATTAGGATTATAATCCATAATCTGAGGCCGTAGTCCGAGATCTAATGGAAGATCCGCCAAATTAATATCTACATTACTTTTCTTTGAAGAATCACTACCTCTGTTTGGAGGAGGTGATAACTCAAACTCATACTTTCTCTTGAAGTACTTTTCCGTGATTGTTTCAAAAAACTATTCAAGAAAATGGGTTTATACATATATTTTTATAATTAATTAAACAAACTATTTTGTCAATTTTATCACTATCATTCTAAAGAACATATAGTATTAGGAAGCAAAACAAGTACAAATGTATAAAAGTATCTAATTCATAATTTTAATAAATCCAAACAATATCATTCAAAGTATTAAAAATAGGTATGAATTGAGAGTTACCAAAAAATACTTTTCACTGTCGACTCAATAACCAAAACTCAAGGTCTTCAAGGCATCACCAATTAGTAATCCAAGCTATAACAATTCAAGAAAATAATTAGGGTAATATGCAAAAAAAAAAATTAGGAAAAAATGCATAAAAATTCAAATAAGGGCAAAATGCACAAAAATATAAATTAGGGTTAAAAACTAAAATGCACAAAAAATTAGAAAATTACAAACACTAATTAATTCAAAATTTTAAAAATAAAAAATTAATTTTGTGTGTGTGTGCACAGACTGTGCGTCTAAGCCACTGGACACGTGTGTGTGTTAATAGAGAGAGAGAGAGAGAGAGAGAGAGAGTATATTTACTTTGTGTAGGTGCTTGGTCAGTGGTAGTCCTGCACTCCTGCTATATTGATGCATGGAATGACAAAATATTGGGTTGGGTGGTGATCCTACTGTGAGAAGCAAGCACTTTACTCTCTGGCTCTTTGTTCTTCTTTGGCTAGGCAAGTGAGAGTGAGTGAATCATAGAGTTTTATTTTTAAATGGTGGCCCAAAAACTTTTATTTTTAAATGGTTGGGCTAAAAACTTTGTTTTTTAGAGAATTTAGAAGTCGGTGCAATTTTTTAGACTTATTTGGGCAAAAATACAAGTCAAAAACTTATTTGGGATAAAGTGCATAATTTTTAAAAATGTCACTATGTCATCGATAAACAACATATAGATGGAAACCCTTTGGTATTCTTTCCCTTTTTCTTTTTTTCGCTACATTCAAGTAATGAGAGGTAAAATAAGAGCATATTTTTTCTAACAATTTTTTTTTCTCTCTCTCTAGCTCTATCTCTATTTTCGCTTACTCTATTTATATTAATATTACAACAACACAATTACACTAATCAATTATATCAATCAGTTACAATTGTCATATAATACACTAAACAGTTATTCATGCG